TTCTGATATTTTAGTCCTTAAAATTAATTAAATATCTTCCACTAATTAGGAAATGATAATGTAGGTATTGTATGGTATGATTAGCAGTACAATTCTGGGTTTTTTCTTACTTCTGAAACTCTAATTCAGTGTTTCTTAATGGTTGGTCCTAGGACCCCTGGGAGTCTGCAAAAATCAAAATTATTTGCCAGGCTATGCTGAAAAATAATACAATATTAAAATCCCATCAAACAATCATGAAAAGTGGTAGTGGCAGTGAATGCATCATTTTTAATTTTTAATATGGTAAATATCAATAAATATAACCCATTCAAACAAAAGCTCTTTTGGGGTCCTCCATAATTTTTAAAAGTGGGAAGGGGTCCTAAGAGAAAAACATTTAAGATTTATACTTCACAAAAAGCACAATTAATTGTTAATGGAGATCTAACAAGCCTTGTGAGATACAAAAAGGAACAAGAAAGGGATGTCCAATGTCTCCTCTTCCTGTATATTTTGGTTCTTGAAATACTGAATAGAGATATAAGACAAGATGAGAGAATTGTGGGAGTAAAGATTAAAAAACTTACACATGGAATGAAGTTTAAAACTTACACATGGAACGAAGTTTAAAAAAATATGTTAAGGGAGAATCTACAACTGTCATTGCTGGGGAGAATTTCTGTGATAAAAATGAAATGTGGTTTCCACATGTATTCATCATAAGCAGTAATGTGAAATTTGCTAATGGGCAGCTTGTCTAATAAGTAAAATATAGCATTCTTAGTAAGGAGCAATCTTCTGCTAACTGCAAGGAAGATTTCAGTTCTGTCACCTTAGTGGAAGAGTATTGTCCTTTTACATTTGTGTAAGGCTCCTTGCAGGCTCTAAGAAAATTAATTCACAGATGATATAAGGGCATGGAATACTGCTAAGCAAGTACATTTATAAAATTAAATATAACATATTCTCCTTTATGTTTAATTAAGGTTACAAAGGTCAGTTGAGTAAAAAAATCTCTTCATTTCAAGAGAGATCAATAAGTTTGTGCCCTTAATCCAAGATATCAGGTTATATCCATATTTTTAAATTAATGACATTTGTGCTGTGGATAGAAGGATAGAAGGAGCCAGTTCCTACTCCAGCCAAGGAAGCTAGATGCTCTCATGAAGGAGAATTGTAGGAAATAAATGAAATGTTTGTTTGCCCAAAACAGCCCCTCCTTTTTCTTCTCCACTTCCTTATTTTAAAATAAACCAGGAAATAACCATTTATGTGCTCTCATGGGATTTTATTTTTCACTCTTTTTATCCTGGCTGAGGTAAGGTGTGCTGGAATGGGGCTCATATTAACATCCCCCACTTGAAAACTTTTGACTTAAAAAGTTGCAGTGGTCTTTTAAGGCCATGTTCTGCAGCTTTTACCTAGGTGTCCTCCATATTCTGTTACAGAGTTGATGTGGCGTAGCCATGATTCCACAACATTAATAATTTCCTTGCTTATCACTTCTAGACTGCAGAGGAGGGCACAGCCAAATACTAGCTAGTATAATGGTATTGTCATTAATGGTGTTATCCTTTAAGATTAAGCCTTATGCCTCATTTCTGCAATTATATGAGCATAATATTTTGATTCCACACAGGATTTTTCTCTTGCTTTCATGTTTTTAAATTTAGTATATTAAAATACCTGCCTTGCCTCCAAATTTTAAATGCTGTTCCTTGCGGTGTTCCTTTAATAGTATGAAGATGACAATCAGCACTTTAAACTATGTACCATATGATTGAATGTATTCTAATTTCTTTCTGTTAACTGTTGCATTTTCCTACATTCTCCGTAGTAAGTCAGTTTTGCGTGTGCTTTCACTCTATATTTATTTATTCCATCTCTATATTTGGTATAATGGATATTTTTGTATTATAAGTTTGATCAAGTGGATGGAAATAGTGGGCTGCTGTTCTGCAGATTGCATGCAGTGTGAATTTACAAATTATTCCTGTTTTGTTTTTTGGAAAGGCACTCAGACGTGAATTGAAGGAAAAAGAGCAAGTCATTTTAAGTGCTGTAGACCAAGCACGAATGTTCCTTGCCGACCAACCAATTGAAGGGCCTGAAGAACCAAGAAAAAACTTACACTCAAAGTCAGGTCAGTTTTGGGGATCTCTGAATTTGAAAATAGAATCTCTCAAATTAAAATAATTGTTTTATTGAACATGTAAGCATAATAGCTTTGATATTCTTTTTTTCTCCAAAGAATATTTAATAAATATTATATGCATTGATATAACAAGTGAACACAGAGATATTGTTGGGAACTTTCCATGCAAGCACTGTTCAAATAAAATTTAAGTTGTAGAGGAAGTAGAACTCAGTAACTTGAGAACACAGTTGGAATTATACTTCTCCAAGGGACTGGACAGTTTTAAATGTGACTCTGATTCTTGAGCGTACTTTAGGTGTGTTTTTGTTGGAAGCTGTCAAATTTGATATATTGAGACATATTATCTAGCATTTCTTTCTGGAAGTCCAGATGTCTCAGTGAAGATAAGTTTAATTAAAGTATACAAAAACTTATCACTTTAATAGTTGATATGAACTTTGGTGTAACATTGTTGGAGAAATGTGAAAAATAAGTAATTTAAGGATGCCTGGAATGATCTATTACCTAAGCTATGAATTTCTTCCATGCTTTGTTAACATCTTGCTAGTCTTAAGTACATTGTGGTTTACTTTGGGATCCCCAACAAATTTGGGCAAAACAGCATATTTGGATAATAAGAGCATATTAAATTAAATGACTGCCATGGTGGGCCAGGCCAATCACAAACTGGTCAGAATATAAATTACTGAATGGAATTGTACACTGTAGTAAGGTCAGTCCATCTTTCTAAAAATCTATTCTGATTTAGGTATCTCATATCATTGAAACATAGATTCTATGCATAGATAAACCCAAACTTTGAATGTAGTACTAATCCATGTTTTAGATTATAGCCTAAGAGTAGTTTCCAGTTTCAGCTGAAATCTGTGTCGGATTTGTTTTTAAGGTAGAAAGTTTGGTCTAAACATTGAAGCATATTTCCATAACTTGGTTAGCTACTCTTCCATTGAAGGAATCAGACAACCTTTCCTTTTCCAGCAAAAAGCATATTGTATCCTTATAGTAGTTATTATACCCAGAACTAATTCCGTATACTTTGAGGGCATATATGGTTTAGTGAAGTATAATGGAAATATTGTAGGTTGAAATGGGAATTCAGTGTTTAAGATTCATTTCATAGTAGTATGAATCATTTTTCAGAATTGTTGAGCTTTACGGCATTACCACCAAACATACACATCCATAAAAACAATCTGACCTGCTTGTTACATTTCCAGCATTTTTTTAAAAAAATGACACATCCAGTTTAGTAATCAAAGCTAAGATAGTATACCAACCATAAAACACCTTATACCAATTTTCTTTAAGTATAATATTCAGAGTGAATTTAATATTTTTTCTTACATTGAAATTCCCATTGTTGCATCTCTATTACTGTATTTAAATTCTGCATCCATTTAATCCTTTTCGGTTAATGAGTCATACTTAACCAGCTGTCGATAAATATGACTCCACAAATGTTCTGGCATACATATTATAAGATTTGCTAATTCAATCAAATCTCTCAGTAATCCCCTTTGTACCAATAGAGGCGAATATGTGTAGCTCAGGGTTGAACTGTGGAGTCCTTGAGGTTCTCTGAGCTTGGTTGTTTTCTTGCAGACATTTGGTTACCTAGCTAGGTAACATCTTCAGTGCTAAAATGGAATTATT